TAATATATATTTTCTCCTATCTATAGTATATACATATGTACATACATATATTACATAGAAATCTCTCTCTTTAAATAATAATTAAATACTATTTGTTTCCCCTTAACAACAATATGCAGTTGGCTATATTCTAATCGTACTTTATTTTATTAGCCATTATTAGACAGTAAGAACCGAATTTCGCCTTGGTTTTATAGCAGATATTCTATCAAGCAATAGCGATCATATCAGTTGAGTAGATACTTCAAAATGTAATCATATCGTTCTTTTCACGCTGTCAACAATAAATTTGGCATACTAGAAACAGTTAGGTGCATATGACTCATTTCATGGGGTACTTTATCGCATGGCTATAAAACGGAAGTGAACTTTATATCTGCTTACTGTGACTTCGTCTTATCTATGTTTTGTGTGCTATCTTGTGGACACACGCCTTTAGATTTAACAATGTTTGATTACAGAAAATACATCGATAAAAGAAAGAAAAAGAGCAATGAATGTTTAAGGTCATCCAAAGATTTTTACATCAGTTTTCCTTTAAAGCGTCGCTCAGCCCAGCATAATGCGGCATATCCGTTACGATTCGTCTCCACGCGCCAAAAAGCGGCTTAAAGTCTTTGCGCAACTCATAAATGCTTAGCGAATGATAAGTGGCTTTTCATTCAGATATTAACACGCTTACATATACTATACTCATATATACATATACATATATTCTTATGCTGTCTGCGCCAAGAGAAATAAAATTCAAATTTCTTCTACTTACTGCACATACATATATCGTATATATATGTGTGCATATTTATGTATATAAATAATATATATATATAGTATATAGTATATACTCATATGTGTGTCGCTTATATCGAGCGCACGCTGTCACTAAACGCCCGAGAAATGATAAATCGCTTTATAAAAGTGCAGCCGTGAGTTGTTATGTTCAGCGTTTTGTTCTTTGCTTGTTCGGCTGCTGTTTCTGTTCGGTGTCGTTTTCATGTCACATAGTGCCTATAAATACAAAGGCGCACAGTGACTAGCCCCAGTTGCAGTCGCAGCAATCCTTGCAGACGCTGCGACGACACAAAAACAAAATGAATAAAGTAAAATAAATTCCGGGCAACTCGATGGCCAAGTTTCAGCTGGGAACCCACCCAGAATAGGCAATTATAATTTGCCTGGCATAGGCGTTAAAGCAAATCTTTCTAATGAAATCTGCGTATCTCCGCATATATATCAACAGCCCCCTCTTAGCACCCTCAGCTCTCTCCCCGTCCCCGCCCATTCCTGTCGTCTGCGTATGCAAATTAACTTAATTGCTAATAAGTGGGCCCCACTCCTCACTCTCTCGACTGCACGAGACAATGCCTTCGCATTAGCCATAGGTTCAATGCATTTTAATTGGCTGCCTTGTGGAATCCGTGTGCGATTCGCATGTGTTTTGGGTTAATCTCATCATTAGAGCACATGCTGCCTGGCAGTTGGACACAGGCAAAGGCTGACATTGTCATGTGGGGCGACAGTTTTGCTATTTTCTAATTTTTGCTGATTTGCGGCAAAGTATCTCATGGATGCATTTTCAATTGGCCATTGCAGAGCTCCTATGCGGGTGCGTATCTGGAGGATAAGCTCATCTTTTACAACAAGCACATGGAGAAATATGGACAATTCACGGGTAAATATAGTTGAATAATATATATCATATATTTCTGTATTCATTTCTTATATATTGCAAATAGATTTCGATGGGAGCTCCAGTGCGAATGGCTCCAGCTTGGATTGCCTCAATCTCATTGTGCAGAGCATCAATAAGAGCACAACGAATGCTGTACAGATGACAGCGACCGCCAGCAAAGTCACCACAGTTGTGACCACCAACAGCGCCAGTAGCACGAGCACCACCAACACCACCACAACCACAGCAACAGGCAAACGGAGCACCTCCTCGTTGAACGCCAACTTCAAGCAGAAATGTAGCACCTAGCATTAGCATTAGCATTATTGGACTCATGTGTGAGGCCAGACTAGTTAAATGTAAAGTTAATTTTAAGAGACAGCCAAAGGATACGCGCTATACCCCAAAGGACACACCAAATGCCAGTGAACATATGTAGAACTAGTTTAGTAATTTCTTTAGCTCTAGCTACTACTTAATTAAAGACTACAAATAAAGCAGACTTAAGCACGAATCCTTACAGAGGTTTCAGTCCACTTCCAGCTTGCGAAAGGAGCCGCTGGTGCCGCCCAGTTCGCCAGTGGCCCAGGCATTGGCTAGGCCGACGCGCAGCTTCTCGTTGGTGCAGTATTGCGAGTCCGTTGCCAGGTAATCCTTGTAGGCCTCCAGCTTGCCGCGCCAGTAGTCCAGCGCCTCGGCATGGTAGCCATTGCTGCCACCGTACTCAATGGTCATTGCCTCGGCCGGCAGGTGGTTGTACAGGTCTTCGGATTTCTTGTGCACTACGAACTGGTGAGGGAGGGTGAGAGGGAGAGGGAAGAGGGTATGAGATTAGTGGACAGGCTTGCGGGGTTGATTGAGTGCGATTACTCACCTTAAAGGGCAACTTGGACGGCAAAAACGAGGTGACGAAATTGAAGATTTTCTGACCCGACGGTATCATATTGACCAGGTGAATCTCTACGAAACGTAGCGGCAGACACTGATCCACCAGCATGAAGGTCTTCTTCAGCAGAAATGGATCGTATTGGAGCATTTGTTCCATGGTGACATCACGTGCATCCACTACGTAGAATAGACCCGCAACCGATGCATTGTCGCACTCCAGGGCCAACAGCTCCAGCAGAATGAAGAGCAGCTTGAACGCTTCGCGGGGATTTGATTGCTTCGGATCGATTTTGCAGAACTGTGAGATAATCACGCGCGGTCCCTGTGAGCTAGCGGGACGCTTGGGTATCACGTGGATGCTGTGAAGACATTCGTTGAGACATCAGCAAAAATAAATGGAGCAGTGCCCGGACGGAGACTTACCCGCGATCAAACTGCCGCAAGAGCGCCTCGTCCACCTGCCTGCCGCAGAGCACCTCGGGAAAGTCGTTCCGCAGGGAATAGTAGTTGTCGATGCGCCGCTTGGCTGCCTCCACACTGAAGCGGCAACGGCGCAGAAATGCCAGAATTAGCCGCTCATCCGTGCGTGCCTTGAGATACGGCGACTTGGCAATCCATGTCTGCAGCGTGACTATAAATGTCTCCCGCTCCGACTGCTGCTCATTGCACTCCGTAACGGCCAGTTCAGCGAGCTCTGCTGGCAGTGGTCGCAGTCCGGCCATGTTTGCGCCTTGATAATCGCAGTTCAAATGCAGAGTGAGAAATGCCAACTGGCTGACGCACAGCGGGCTGGCAATCTAATCAGTAACAGCGACCAGGTAATAGCTGGAACGCGTTCTGTTAGATAGCCGCCAATGGAAATATATTAAAACGCATACAGACAGACACACAGATAGACATGTGTACTTGTAGATAGTGCGCATTATGCGATATATTGTTTATCTATGTGGTGTACACAATTTTAATTGATCGGCTACAGCAGATATTTGACTTAACAATAGGTTCAGCCTCGCCCCGATCGCTGTCAATCCCAGTTCAGCCTGCGGAAGGAGCCGTTGACGCCAAACTCTGCCTCGTAGGTGGCCGTCTCAATCGGTCGCAGCTCCTCAATGGTGCCGTACTTGTACTCCTGCTCAAAGTAGCCCCGATAGCTATTCAGCAAATCCTCCATATAGGCGATGCTCTCGTTCAGGTGGCCATTGGTGCCGCCATATTCCTCGGGCAGCGAGCTTTTCCCGATGTGGTCGAAGAGCTCCTCGGTGTTCTTCAGCACGCGTATCTGTGGCATTGCTCGATAATTCGTGCAGGAGGAGGTTGTCAAAGCTACATCTTGCTTACCGGATAGTTGACCTGCATGCTGAGCATATTGTAGAGATACATAATGCTGCCTTGAATGTCCTTGGGCATGTTGATCACGTAGACTTCCTTGATGCGCAGCGGACTGCAGTCGTGCAGCCAGCTCCACCATCTGCGAAAGAACTGCTTGTCGAAGCGACGCATCTTGTCCGAGCTGACGCCCTCCAAGTCGATGATCTCACAAATTCCCGCCACAGACGCATAATCGTTCTCCAGGGCCACGATTTCCATGGCCATGGACGTGAAATGGTAAATCTCCCGCAAGCTGTACTGATTGGGATCGAGTCTGCCAAAGCGTGCTATGAACAGAGCTGTGCGGTTGTCGCACTTGGGCAAGTCCGGGTAGATGAACATCCTAAAGTATGGAATGGACATCCTGAAGGCTGGAGCTGCTCACATTTTCCCAATTACTTACCCCAATCTATTGACATCCAGTAGCCGCTGTGTGATATATCGGTTGCTCATAATTTCTGGGAAGAGATTATAGTAGGAGAAGTAACGATCCAGTCGCCGCTTGGTTTCCTCTAGGCTGTAGCGACAGCGTCGCAGAAACGCAATCAGAAAGTCGTCCTCGGTGCGCGCCCTCAAATGTGGCTGCTGGCGTATCCAGACCCGCAAGATGATAATGTCCTGCTGTATCCTGTCGGGTGTTTCGTTCAGCTCCTGCTCGGCCAGCTTGGCTAGCGTTGGTGACAACGGACGTCGCATCTTGTTGCTGACTCTAGCGATTATGGCTCTGATTTTCCGATAATTGGGCCACAGCTGGTCGGTTGAGTCGGTTCGGGTTGATTAGCTAATTTGATTATCTTATCAGACAAATAGTGGGGAAAGTACGTGCCATCATTAAGAACAAAATAACTGCATAGTAAAACAATCACAGACATATGTACATACATATATACATCCGTATGTATCTTCTCTGGGGGCATCGTTATATGCTCTATGTATATCAAACAGTCACATCCGGCCCCTTTGTCCCGCGGGCCACTTAAGTGCTCTCCCCCTGCCAGCTTCCAGCCATTACCGCGGGTGCTCTGAAATGTGATCGCCGTTTTATGCTTGAAATAAATCTGACACTAAATAGTATACAGTCTGTATATATGTGTGTGTGTGTGTGTGTCTGTTTTGAGCAGTCAATTTGAGTGCCCGTCAGAGAGACGACATGTGTAGGAGGAGGTGCTGATGCGGTGCGCACCTACCTTCAGTTCAGCAAATTGCTCTGACATGGCGCTGTCAGCTGCTGACAAGCGCACGACATCGATGTGGATGTCGACGTGGACGAAGACGTGGCTTGGCTGGCAGGAAGCGGATCAGTTAGCTGGATCTGTATTTGGAGTTGTTATTGCCTCCGCGTCCACCTCCGCCTCTACCTCTGCCCTTGTCTCAGTCTGGGTCTCTGTCTCTGTAGTTCTCTGCCTTACTCCAATAACTCATAACACATTATGGGCCTCTGCGGCATGGGAAATGGTAATGTACTTTGATCTTCAGCTGACGAGAGCAGCGCGTGTAAATTCCCTTACTGCATTCTTATTGCTTATGACACAAACATATCGCTGCCATATTCATAATGAGGCTCATTAACTTTATGCACTGCAAACACCACAACAACTCAAAGAAACACTCAACACTTTGGCTCGCATATCCCACAGCGGCTGTCGTATTGGTTCCTTAAAAACAACAAAATAGTCATTGCTCAAACTCAGACGGGTCTTTGCAACTGCTCGATACTCTGTTCTCCAGGAAAAAAAATCTCTTTGTGCTCATTTAGGAAAGTGAAATGAGTAGATTGGTTTTGTGGAATGTCTTTTTATACCCTGAACCCATTGAAAATGGGAAATCAGGGTATAATGGTTTTGTTGAAATGTATGTAACAGGCAGAAGGAGGCGTGGCAGACCCCACAAAGTATATATATTCTTGATCAGGGCGACGAGCTGAGTCGATTTAGCCCTGTCCGTCTGTCTGTCTGTCCGTCTGTCCGTCTGTCCGTCTGTCCGTCCGTCCGTCTGTCCGTCTGTCCGTCTGTCCGTATGTTTGAACGCGTCGATTTCCGAAGATATAAGAGCTAGAGACTTGAATTTTTTTTTAAAATGACCNTTGGTAGATGGCGCTGCAGCAGTGAATCTATTTGAGTTTTGCCAGCGCCACTAGCAGGAGTGAGGTGGCCTAGTGTGTTAGCAGCATGACGCTCGATCGAGGAGTCGCGGTTCGAATCCCGATCGATGCAACTGATGTTAATTTTTTTTAATTGTTTCAAAATATTTTTATATTTTATTAAATGAGTTTGGTATTTTATTTATATTTTTAAATACATCGAAATTGAAATTTCAGCCATACTAAATGAGCATTTTTATTTGTTGGGTTCAGGGTAGTATCTAGTCGAGCACTCTCGACTAGAGTTTTCTTACTTGTTTCTGTATGAGTACACACTATTTCACCGTTACTGCAGATTGAGAAATTATGATTGATTATATACTCGTGTATACCATCGTCTAATAAGATGTTAAGATTTAAATTTAATTTAATTTATGTTAAGATCTAAATTTTAATGAGTTATTCATGTCAACTATTGATTTGCAAAAAATTTAAAGTATATGTATATCAAATCGATAAAAATCTATACCATGCCAGATAACCGTGAATGAGTATTCTGCAGGCGGTAGTGCGCGACTGAGCTCCGCTTTTTCATATTCACATATTTTTAGGTATTGAAGTTGGGACTCTTAAAAAGTTATTATGCGAAAGCTCCTTTTTCTCCCTCTGTATAGTTCGAATATACTCTCTGCCCCAATTCGTGAAAGGAGTCAACGAGGGGAAGGAGGCCTGAGTGTGGCATGTAATGGACACGCTGCTGCCTGATAAGTGTATTTTGTTGTAAACACTTGGGTATATTTCCCCAAGACGCATTGACATGCTGTTGCCACTTGCCACTTGTGACTTGCCACTGCCACATGTGATGAGCGCATTAAAATGCATTTACCCTAATATATGCCACAGCTCCAATATGAGAAATGGCTGCCAGCGGCTGTATATAAGGCAGAAAATTTTTAATCTCAATTCATGGACTTCTCACTTGGATTTCCACAAAAATATATTTTTAAGAACTTAACTTAAATTTATTATTCTACATACTTTTCCTATCGTTTACAAGTCGAAAGTTCTCTTAGTTTTAAGCTATTGCCAAAGATTCGCTGTGGCGCACTCATTGGTCATGTACAAATTATGAAGATTTCATATTTAATTTATAGATTTACATAAAACGCCCCATTTTGTCGGGGCCAGATGCATATAGATGCAGCAAATGCATTTGCTGTGCGCTCAATTGACAATCATATTTATAGAGCACGTAAAGAAAAATGAAACACAAAAAAAAATATAAAAATTTCATTTGAAGAAAAACTTAGGAAAATATTTATACGAAAGATGTTCTCGGCTGGTCGTTGTCGCCGCTCGACTGCCAGTTGTCACTCAAGTTGATCCGAAATTTCGTTTATAGTTGCCGTGCCGTGGACCGATCTACGGACTGGTGCTATGGGGGTGTGGCCGGGATTGAACGGCAAATGAAATTTCATTGTAAACAGACGTGACACGGCAAATTGAGCAGCTTAAACAAATTTCCGTTGTCTTGGTCGTTGCGCTTGGACAATTCTCCAGAGTCTGTGCCAGCGCTCGCATCCGCATCCGYATCCTGTAACGGGGGCGATTTATGGACTTCCTTGAGTTTATCACTTGAGTGGCTGAGTGTTTGAGTGGCAGACATGTTTTCTATCCTAATTGGTCCTTGGAGTGGTGACGCAACACCAGCTGGACCCTCGTTTATATATAGATTATAGATCAGTATACGCTACGCTTAACTCATTCAAAGATCCCATGAGTCCATGAGAGTCCGGCCAACTCATTTGTAGACGACGGTGTGCCAGGAGCGGGCGGGCAGGCGCAAGCTGAATGCACCTCGCTGACTGTCATTGAGCGCCACATTAACGGGCAGGTTTTCGCTGTTGGAATGAAAGAAAAGTATCTGTGAGATGCATTCATAAAATATATGTTTGTATAGCCCTGTCTCCTCGAGTGCCATGCGCAATTAAGAGCCAGCCACTTTAGCGCAGATGCCGCCAGAAATAGCAGCTACTTCAGCAGGATGTGCAGACACTTGAGTCGTGGACCAGACGCGTGCCACATACCCATTGTACACGATCAGCGCCACGCTGCCATCCGGCCTCTGGAAGCCTACCACGCTCAGCTGCGGAAAGGACTCGGTCTCATTGGTGCTCGCCTCGATCCGCACGGATTCCTCTGGCAGAAACTTGCTGAAGTGCCCGATTGCATAGTATATGGGCTGTTTGTAGAATTCCGTGCGACTCGTTGTGTTCACAATCACCGGAGCATCCACATAATTGTGCACATAGTTCGGGCCGCCCCGCTCATCGAGCACCAGATTCCAGTCCAGCCAGCCGTTAAAATGATGAAGCAAGTCCTGTATGTAGGCACGCATATAGCTCTCGCCACGCCCCCAGCTGCCCAGCTCCGGGCCGTGCGTTTGCCAGGGCTTGTCGCCGATGCAAGATTCCGTGTTCAACAGCAATTTATCTGGCATTTCCGCATGCGCCTGATCTATAAGCTGCGGCCCAAAGATCTCATCCCAATACCAATGCACGGCCAGGCCATCGAGATAATCGAGTGCATTGCTGCGAGAGGTGCGCATCTGCAAGAGAGAGAGAGAGAGAAAGAGAGAGAGAGAGAGAGGAATAGAGGGAGAAGAAGAAGAGAGGAAGAGAAACAGAGAAAGAGAGAGGGAGAGATTAAGAGAGATATTGTAAATTTATATATTTGTTGTACTCGTTCATAATATTAATGGGGTATATTGGACTGGAATCAATTATATATGTTAATTTAAATATAAATATTATTTCTAGAATTTAAAAATATAATTAAAAGATAAAACTTTCTGTCTAGGCATACCATTAGCTGATCTAGTATATATTTTAAAAAATCATATACAGGAACAACTCTATAATATAGGGTATATAGTATATTTACCTTGCGAAACCAGGAGGGATACGTATAGCGCTGATCGTCGTTGCCGAAAATGAGCACTTGGCTTTGCTTGGACTTCCTAATGGTCGGTCCCAGATAATCGTTGAGCCAAATTGCCTATTAGGGGAAAGCTGTTCCTGCTATATAAATGCGTATAATTATTTATGGCGATGCCTACCTGCTGCCAGGGCGTCCAGCCCATGCTCATGAAGTGCACGAAGAAGAAGCCGATGACACCGTTTAACGGCTCATTGCCGGTGGATATGGCCCAGACGGTCATATTTTTAGACTGCATCAGCTCGAGGAATCTGCAAAGAGTGCAAATTCATTTACATAATGGCGGCCATTAATTGGTCCGTTGTGTCGGACACCTACTTCAAATGGTAGTCCGCCCAGGCTTGATAGTATTCCGCTTTCAGCTGACCGTACCCCGTCCATCTGTTGTTGCTCTTCATCCAAGGGGGCGCACTCCAAGCGGCGGCCATAATTTTCAGATTACTTAATTTGGCAACCGCTTTTAGACGTTTCAACTGCTCAATCTTCTGAAGATCACGCGGGTCCAGTGAGGTAAAGTTGCTGAGTGAGGGATCATTGCGGGGCAGTTGGTTGTAGGCCCAGGGCTGTAGATCAAAGTCGGAGCCACCGATCGACATACGTATCGAGTTGTATGCAATACCATCGTCGTGGAAATAGGATCTACGGGTGGAAAATGAGGTTGGCTATATTGACCCAAGATTAATATGCAATTTACTTACTTATAGACATGATCCTGCAGGGCTTTTGGTAGCTGCTGTAAGATGTGAGAGACGCTGCCCGTGAATGCGCCTCCGAAGTTTGTTATCTTCTGATAACGCTTTTCGCGGTGAACTGTTAACTGCACCGTCTTTATGGTCACATTGATGGCTATAGAGTATGACAAAAGATTAGGAGAATCTGCGAAGCTGTTAATGCAACGTCTTCAATTACCAAATCGTTGAGGAACGTTTGCGAATTGCAGCCAAACTTTATTTTGCTCAACGACAACCGCATCGGCAACGAAGTTATTGTCAATCCATTGAAGATCTTTCACTTCCAAGATGTTTTTGTCTAAAAAGCTGCCCTCTGATCGAGTGAAACGTAGTCCATTCTGTAAAGTCGATGTACTGCTGTTATATATGCCATTCGATTCAATTGAAATAGAGATGCTCACCTTGCTCGAGCTAATCACCACAATCTGATTATCATCACGTAGTTCCGGCTGCTCCAGATAATCGCAGTAGCTGCTATTACAGACGCATACGTTGCCGTACTGCGTCTCCTTTAGCTGACAAGGCGTCGATAGCGCAGCTGCGACAGATATAATGTATACATCAATGTGCAATCACAGGTAAGCAGGCGCACTCACCTGCCCATCCTGGCCAAAGGGCAACAGCGAACAGCATCCACAGCCAGCGCAGATTCATGGCTGAGCCTCACACAGCAGCGAAACTGCAACGAAACGAGCGCTTCGGATGCGTCCGCTCAACTGACTCGAGAGCGGAGTAAAGTGAAGCGTAGAGCGTTGAGCTGGCATGGGAATGCTTGCGACAGCGGCAAGCGCGTTTCTCCTAATCAATCGCCACCGAATTTTGCTCAAATTCCATTTGTGTAAATAGGTTCAAGTGAGCGCTCAAGTTGTTGTTTATATTTGCGGCTGCTACTTGACCTGCGCCAGCTGTTGAATTGATAAAGCAGCAGCAGTCGGCGGCGGCGACTGAGGCGGAGGCGGAGGCGAAGGCAGAGGCAGCGATTTGCAGTGGACGGCGCCACTTGAAAAACGTCTCACGGCTTTGGCAATCAAAAGTAAAAGTTATGCAAAGGTAAAGTCAATAATTGAGCTCTCTTTCGAAGCGTCGTACCACTATCAAAATGTACTCTTCCGTTAAAGTGAGAGTTGCTTTCGCAGCGCTCTTACTTTCTTTCTCTCTCATTCAGTCCCTGTATTTTTATACCCTGAACCCATTGAAAATGGGAAATCAGGGTATAATGGTTTTGTGAAAAAGTATGTAACGGGCAGAAGGAGGCGTGGCAGACCCCACAAAGTATATATATTCTTGATCAGCGTGACGAGCTGAGTCGATATAGCCCTGTCCGTCTGTCCGTCCGTCCGTCCGTCCGTCCGTCCGTCCGTCCGTCCGTCCGTCCGTCCGTCCGTCCGTCCGTCCGTATGAGTGCGTCGATCTCAGAAGTTATAAGAGCTAGAGANACAAATAAATTCTCATAATATTGCCCACACTGCAGCGCAGCCCAAGCGCAGTCGCTGCTTACTGCGCAGTTAGCAGAGCGCAGGCTTATGCGTGCGTGTGGATGCATGTGTATGTATGTGTGCATAAAAGAAGTGCATAATGATTAGAATATCAGATTAGGGGGTTCAGGGTATCTCCTAGTCGAGCAGTCTCGACTAGAGCTTTCTTACTTGTTTGTTTTTAAGTATGCCCTGTTTCTTTGACTAGGTCTGTCTATATTGGCAAAGAAATAAATTACATATTTTTAAATAAATTAAAAAACAAATTAAACTTAGGAAACGTTATATAATCGTGGAATGTGCTATGCAATGAATTTATGCAAATTTTATGTTTCGTCCATCATTTAATATTCAAACATACATTAACTGTTTTGCCTTTGTCTTAGGTCGTTAATTCTAAATGTCTTTGTAGAATATATAAATTAAAATATTACAGATTCAATCAAATGCAATAAATATATTTTCAACATCTTTATTATCGGAACTTAAAGTCCCTATAGAAAATACAACTAAAACAATTTAAAATTCAGCCCGTCAAAATATGCAAATTTATCGCTCAATCAGTTATAGAGTATGGTGTGTATGGACCGGGCTGGCACATTGATCGACAAATTACCACGAATCGTATCCGTGATATCGATGTTCAGATCGGCACGTCCGCTATTGAAGAGCACAGCGACGATCTTGTCGTCGGGTCTCTTGAATGCCACAGAGTCAAGATTGACGTTGCTGGCCACCGCCTCGATGTGCACAGAGCCCTCGGGCACCAGCTTCGAGAAGTGTCCCATTATATAGAACATGGGCTGCTTGTAGAACTCAGTATAGGCTATCGAGAATATCACGATAATAAAGATTAGAGCGAAATCGGTCTAAGTATTCCATTGCTTACATGTCGTGTTGGCAACCACTGGAGCATCAACTGTGTTGTTGACGTAGTTGGGACCACCGACTTCGTCCAATATGATATTCCAGTCTATCCAGCCGTGGAAGCCATCCTGGAGATGTGACATAAATGAGCGTGCATATTTCTCTGCCCGTTCCCAGCTGCCGAGGAGAGGTGCAGCTTTCTGCCAGGGCTTGTCGCCAATACAAGACTCGGAAATGATCTGGATTTTGTTGGCCATGAACTCGTTGGTGCTATGAACAAAGCTGTTGCCGAATATTTCGTCCCAATACCAGTGAAGTGCTACTCCGTCAATGTATTGGAGGGAGTTAGGGCGAGTACGGTTCATCTGCACGGGGACACAGTTATTGGACTTTGGAACTCAGGTGGAAAAAGTAAAAGTGTTACCTGCTTGAACCAGAACGGGCTGGTGTAACGTTGATCATCATTGCTGAAGATGAACAGATCCTTGTACTTTGAGTTACGAATCGTGGGTCCCAAGTGATCGGCCACCCATATGGCCTGTGTCTGTGGTGTCCAGCCCATGCTCATGAACTTGACAAAGACCATGAAGAGTATTCCATTCATTGGCTCATTTCCAGTGGAAATGGCCCAAATCGGCAGATCATTCTTTGCCATCAAATCGATCCACTTGAGGTGATAGTCGGCCCAGGTCTGGTAGTATTGTCGTTTTAGACGACCAAAGCCCGTCCACCTGTTGTTGGTCTTCATCCAAGGCGGTGCGCTCCAGGCAGCTGCCTTGATGCGCAGATTTGTCACCCCTGAAACTTCCTTTAGTCGTTTAATCTGCGCCAAGCGTAGAACATCCCGAGCGTCCAGCTCATCCATGCCAGTCAGAACAGTTTCGTTCTCGGGCTTCTCGTTATAGGCCCAGGGTGCCAAATCGAAATCACAACCTCCGATCGATATGCGCAACAAATTGAATCCCAATCCATTTGGGGCATAGTAGGACTTGTAGAGATGATCTTGAATACCTTGTGCTTTAAAGTTATCCACCAAATAGGATACGGCTCCCGTGAAACTGCCACCAAATCCTTCAATTCTTTGGTACAGCTTACTGCGGTCAAGCTTGAGCTTTACAGATCTTGTTATGGGTTTTGTCGGTGAGTCGGCTTGGCTGAATATTTTGTCTAGAGTTTGATCTATTAGCCGAGATAAGATCGTGTCATTGCTGGCAGCGGTTTCGGTCGCAGGCTCTTCATAGTCCTTTACGATATACCTATCCTTCTCACCAAAGTTTCCCTTGCTCATTTCAAATCGAAGTCCCTTCTTACTGCTGGAAATAAGCGCAAATTCCTCATCCTTGCTCAGTGTCGGATTGTCCAAATAGTCACAGTAGTCCGAAGTGCACACGCACACTTTGCCATATTCCGCATCTTTTAGTTTACAGGGAACCGTTTCGGTCTGACCACCTGTTTAAGCACTTCATACAACAGGTGTTCCTATTGATAGCTGAATGTATGTGGCTAACACTTACCGATTACAGCTATCAGCAGCACCAGCAACAGCTGCAGCAAAGGGCCAAGGAGCAACAAGTTTTTGCACTTCAGCATTGAATGACCGATCGTCCGAGGAGGGGCTCGTTAACTAACTCGATTGTTCCAAGCAATTCTGACCCAAGCTGTTTTTCGTTGGCAGCTAATCTTAACAGTAAATGGGATAAGAGCTAAGTTATTGAATAGTTGATTACGACCTATTTATATTCTATCCGCTAATGGACTAATCGGTAATAATCGCAGAATTTTTTTTTTTTAATAGACTAATATTGCCATTTCATATTATATTTATATATTATATAATTACAAATCGCTTAGCTGATTATCGATCTAATTGATTGTTGGGCTGCAGTAAACTTGGTTAGCTTCACTTAGAAATTGCCTATCTTATCAGAGATATGACCATTTAACTATAATAAGTTTAGATTAAGTAAACAGTTTAATTTTTATTTAGATTCAAAAACCAGGTGTGCGATTTGCAATAAATAAAAATAATAAGCTCTTAAAACTAAAATTTATTTAATTTCATGACAAGACATTGCTATAGATAATTGGTCACAAAAGAATTTGCTTGGCATTTGAGCAAGACCTCGCGTTATTCAGTTGCCTAAATTTGCTAAACCATCAAGCTAGAACCAGAACCAGACTCATAAAACTGGGTTACAATCAAACCAAAAAAAAAAAAAAAAAAAAAAAAAAAAAAACACACACACACACACAAAAAAAAAAAAGAAGCAGCAATTTTGAAATGTCAACCTCGAGCTTTTTCGCAATCTCCTGTTTTGGAATCTCCATTTCCTAAATGCGGTCTTTTATCGAGCTAACAATTGTGCGTCAATTCGTGAGAAATTCATGTTGTGCCAGCATCACTTGTGGGACTAAATTTAAACTGTGAAATGCTCAATGAAATGGAAAATCATTCGTAAGTCTGAAAAATCTATAGCGCGCTTATCAGGGACAAGGCATGGTCGCAGGCCTTCGAGTCGTGGGAACTTGATGCGGTTTTTGTGGGTTTGGCGTCGAGGCGATGGATGTGAAGAAACAACCATGGAAACACTCTCTCTTTAAGCAGCAATATGACATACAACAACAATAGCAACAGCAACAGCAGGAACAGGAACGGTAATCGGAGAGTGCATGACTAAAAGTTACCCAAGATATCCATAACAATTTTTTTTTAATTTATTTTTTTTTCTTCAAGTTATTATCTATAAATTAAACTAAAGATTTGTTGAACCAGTAAATAAAATTATAATTTTTTCCATGAATTGATGAATTATAATATTATATATATATTGCAGAGGACTTAGTAGACAATATAAATAAATAACTAAATATCTTATAAGCTAGCTAGAATTAAGCTAGTTAGAATTAAGTCTTTAAACTCATCTATAAACTTTACTGGCATTACTCTACAGAAACTGCCAATAATCAATATATCCTTATGTAATTGTAAGTAGGATAATTTTTCGCAGAGTTTTTCTACCTATATATACATGTATAATAATATTAATAATTTTTAAATTAACTGCTAATAAATAAATTTAAATAAATATTCAATTCTCATGACGTAATTGGCTCGTGTGCCGAGTATGCTCTATGCCCGTCTGTCGTGCAGCACATGTTGAGTTCAGATGATTTACTTTGCAGGCTGTGCGCTCGTTAATGGGGACTCGTTTGGCCGCTCGGGTCGTTCGGGTCTGCTGTTGCTTTCAGTAAAATCGGTCGGCAGCTTGTTGCAACCTTTCAATAGCCACAAACACGCTGAGGCAGCAACACCACCTGTTGGTCAAAGGGCGCTAAAATCGTTGTCCTTCACACAAGTAACTACGCCGAGTGAGGGTGTGTGAGTGAGTGAGTGCGTGTGTGTGAGTGCGCCCGCCTTATAATTGTGTAGCATATTTTGTGGCGCCTCGGTTATTGGGCCATATGGCAGTGTAACCTGTGCCTTTGTGTGTGTGTGTGTGCCGCATATTGATTTCGATAATTGGCGCGCGTCAGTCATGTCGGAGAAGTCAACAAGTGGCGAGGCTGCGGCCAAGCTAAACATCTCGGCCAGACGCAGCTCCAGCCAGCCCTCCAATGTCATTGAGAGTCGCTGCCTCATTGCCGCAATTGTGTATATAGCTCTGCTGCTGGACAATGTGCTGCTGACCGTGATAGGTAATGCCAATTATAGATAACATATGATAAGAGCTGATAAAGAGAACAACAACAACAACAACGACAACTCACTTTCATCGATTGCAGTGCCCATTTTGCCCGACTATTTGGCCAGCCTGGAGACGCCAACGTTTGAGGGCTACCGCATAGAAGAGGGGGCCATGCCATCCTCGGCCCCTGCCCAGGCCCATCAGATGGCGCAACGCAACGAGGAGCCGACACAGTTCTACATGACCAAGCATCCAATACCTGGCAAATCGATGGTTAATTTCACAACGCTGCATCTGCTGACGTCCACGACGGTGACAACGCTGCTGCCCAGCGACCATTTGGGCGGCACTAATGCGACCGCAGCTACAAAGGTCGATAGCCACAACATGGCCAGCAGCAATTTCAATAGCAATAACAACAGTGTGGGCCTGTCGCGCGAGAATGGCTCCATTGGGCTGCTGTTGGCCATGAAAGCGCTGGTCCAATTGGTTTTCAATCCCATTGTCGGCAATCTGTCCAGCAAGTGTGGCTATCGCCTGCCCATTGTGGTGGGCACTTGCTTCCTTTTGATCTCCTCCCTCGGTAAATTTGCGGAACGCAATCAGCTAGAGCTTGTAGCTTCAGCCATTTTAATGACATGTTATGTTTACCTTTCAGTGTTTGCCGTGGGCGAATCTTATTGGATGTTGTTGCTGGCACGCGCCATTCAGGGTGTGGGCTCCGCCTGCATTGGGGTGTGCGGCATGAGTCTGGTGGCACAGCATTATCCGGAGGAGGCGCGCCGCTCCAAGGTCATGGGCATCGTTTTGGGCAGCATTGCACTGGGTGTATTGATAGGGTATCCGTTTGGGAGTATTCTCTACGATATGGTTGGCAAATCGGCACCCTTTATAATACTATCGACCGTTATATTTCTGAGCCTGGGTCTGCAGCTGCTCACCATGGACCTGTCCGTGCAGCCGGAGGTCTTGGCCTTCGAGCAGAGCACCAAATGGCGCGCGTTGCTCGAATGCAAAATGATTTTGGCCATTGTCATCGCCATTTGGCTGTCCACATCCACAATGGCCATATTGGAGCCGTGTTTGCCCATCTGGCTGATTCAGTATCTCCATCCGAACAAGTGGCAGTTGGGCACCGTTTTCATACCGGATTCCGTGGGCTACTTTGTGGGCACAAACTTTTTCGGTAGCGTCGCCTTTCGTTATGGCCAGCTGAAAGTCTCCTGTCTTAGCCTGCTCCTGGTCGGCCTTGCGTCAATTCTGGTGAGCGGTTTATAGGCTACATTCCATTGTATGTTATCCGTGTGTTTGCAGATACCCAGCGCCACAACTGTGGCGCAGCTCTTGCTGCCCCATTTTGCTCTGGGCTTGGGCATTGGGGTGATTGATGCGGCCTTGGTTCCACTCCTGGCTACCTTTGTGGATGCCACACTGGCGCATGATGACAGCGGCGAGGCTAGAGGCACTAGATCCAGCTACGGCACCGTCTATGCCATACAACAGACCTCCGTAAGCTTGGCGTATTGTCTGGGTAAGACTTTGCCTTCTCTCTCCCTTGGAAAACTTTTATATGTTTACAAACCATTTTTATCATGCTCGTCAGCTCCTTTGATTGGCGGAGAGTTGGCACAGAGCTTTGGCTTTGCCTGGCTGATGCGTATTGTGGGCCTATTAAATATTCTGTACGGACCAATACTAGTTTACATATATCAGAAATATGATCCAAAGGTACGAGGGTCATTGATCACTCCCACTAAAGGACTGACATTCACCACTCTTCTCTGGTTTTCATTTGCATGCACAGCGAGTCAGAGAGCAGCAGAATGAGCTGCTTATGCAGAGCAGTGGGCGTGGCTCCCGCTATAAGCAGCTGTACAACTCCATGGACCTGGAATAAGCACTGCAATCAATTGAAGCCGAAGCAATACATTTCATACACTTATCACTCATCGCCATCAAATTAAGCATTAACTTATAAATAACCACATATATAAATGTATTTCCATTTGATTTTCTTCCCACTTACTTGGCCTTGACTTAAAATTCACGTCGATCCGCCCTAGATGAGAAGGGGGGCTGTGTTTTATTCTCATTACACTTTTGGTATTCATTCGGAACTCAACTCAAAAGAGTTCAAAATTATTTGGAAATTGTTTTTCCAATATTGCAGTAAAGTAACGTAAAAATGGCGCGTGTGCCTTTAGGTGAGAAATATTTTTAAATTGCTTGGGTAGTGGACATTGATAATCCTAACGGTTTCTCTTCGGCAGGCCCTGGTCCCGGCGCTTACGGATTGCCCACAACGATTGGGTACGAGAAACATGATAACCGTAAGCAACGCATGCCCCAGTATTCCTTCGGAATCCGTACAAACATATCGGGCAAGGATGCGGGTCCAGGTCCAGGAGCCTATCAGGTAGACAAATTAACGCGCTATGGCAAGGGTGGCGGCTTGGAATACACGATGGCCCCTTTGACTAAATTCAAGGGTAAGACCTCAATGCTCTCATACGTCCTTTGAGCAATTTTAGACGCTCCATTCAATTGCAGACAAGGGTTTCGGCCCCGGCCCAGGCGCGCACGATGTCCATCTAAAGCCCATGTTCAAAGGCACGGAGGCTCCTGCATATTCGATGGCCGCGCGTCACAACTTCAATTTCAAGAAGTGTGGACCCGGTCCCAGTGCCTATATGTATGACATCAACAACGTAAAGCAGGCGGCGCCTAAGTACAGCATGTAAGTGGATTACGTGGAATAGCATATCTCCCAGCAGATTTCATAATTTGTCATTTAAACAGGGGCATACAAACCAAGGTTTTGGGTAAGAACAACTCACCTGGTCCAGCTGCTTATGGTGCGGGTGATTTGAATCTGAGACTGAATCGTGCACCCGAATATTCGATGAGACCCAGGTGCGA